GCGGGCGGGGCTCCCATCCTGTGGACGGGGCCAAGGCAGGCAGATCCCGCCCCCAGCACGTGCATAAGTCACGACCCCTCCCCTCCTCCTGAATGCCCCTGTTCCTGGGTTCTTCCCGATTCCACGCAAAAACAGGTGGGTGGTTGCACCTGGGGGCTCAAACTGGGACCAGTGCAAGGATCCCCAGTCCCTGGGACACACAACAGTCCCCGGGACACACAACAGTCCCCATGCTCAGGCCCTGCTTTGGCTGTCCTAGCTTAGCCCAGGCTAGGGGGAGGGGGGAAAGCAGGACTCCTGGGTCCAGAATCCTCCAGACTTGGCCCCTTCCCACCCCTTTAGGAGGTAAAGTCTCCCGTGGGACTGTAGAACCATACCCCCCCACCCCCCCACCCCCCCAGCTACTGGTTTCCCTTGGGGGGAGGAGAAATCAGTGAAGTTTGTCAGTCACGAAACACAAGAGCCAGAGGGGAAAGTCCTGGGCTGAGTTTATTGGCTGCAAATTGTTTCAAACACACCTGAGCATTGGGGTGGGGAGGTACTAGGGGCACAAACCCCTCTAGGCAGCCCCTAGGAGGTGCTATACATGGAGTGGGGCTCCTTCTGGAGGCTGTGGAGTGCTGCTGAATGTCCAGAGCCACCCCCTTATAGCAGCCCTGGCACCACTGTGTAATAAGCCCCCTTCTCTTTTTGCTGACTGTTAAACTTTGGTCCCTAGTGATGGGGGTGGTACTCAGGTTTGCTCAGCTCCCAGTATGGAAACTGAGCTAGGGCTGGAACAAGCACCCATGGGCAGAGCTGTCCTTAGCGGTGTGCAGTGCCAGGGCATATCAGCCTGTGCAGGGCCCGTTAGGGCAGGGGGGGTGGCGAGTGGCCAGAGCAGAGCCAGCAACATTTGGCAGCAGTGGTGCATGGTGGTCACAGCAGGGCCTATACAGCACTGTCTGCGGGGCCCCCCAAAGCGTGGGGCCTAGGGTGGTCACCCTGATTCGCACGCCCTAGGGATGGCCCTGCCCATGGGTTTGGGCATCCAGCCCCCACCCTGCCACCAGTTCACAAGGCCTCAATGTCCGTTTTGCAACCGAGGACACAACGCAGATGTCTAGGCTCTCAACCCGATGCAGAAGCTGCCTTTCCTCTCCCAGCTGAAGTATGCAGGGCTCTAAAGGCTTTCCCAAAGCCTGTGTGAGGTGGCTGGTGAACATCTCTCTCTATGTGGGGAAGAGGCTCCATCCTGCCCCCACCCCTCCCCCAATGGGCACATGGGAGAAACTGAGGCATAAGCCCACACTCCCACAGCAAAGCAGCAGAGCCAAGAAAGGAACCCAGACATCTGGGCTCCAGGCCCCTACAACCCTCCTCCCATAGCGGAGTCTCTAACACCCCCCTAGTGGAGGGGAGGGTCTGGGAGAGCCTGTCCTCCCACCAGAGCCTCTTACCTGCCCCACCTCTTCACAGTGCTGGGCTTCCCCCGCAACTCAGGGCAGGGGAGGAGTGGGTTGGCGGGGGGCTGCAGTCCAGCTCCTCCCCCCCAGCCCCAGGCTCTTCCCCTTGCTAGGATTAGCAGGCATCAGAGACATAGTCAAAGTCACGGAAAGTGGCCTGGTCACTGGGCCCAAGGGGCCGTGGCTCGCGAGGGGGTGTGAGCGTGGGCGCCTCGGCCGTGAACTCCTCGTCGAAGTTGCTAATGTCGGCACGGCCCTGGATGGTTGGCACGAAGGGTGGGGGCAGGCGGCGCCCCAGCAGGGCCTCCCAGTCCATGTTCTGCCGGGAGATAAATGGACGTGCTCAGGGTGGATGGTCCCGGCACTGTGGCATCCTGCTGCCAGCCCCAGTTGGGGACACTAGGCTTGCTTATGCCAACTGTGAGGTCCCTAGGTGCCACTAGGGTATGCTGTGCTCCAGGCAGCAGGGTGGGGGGTGGGGAGGCACTGGGCTGGGCTATGCTAGCTGCAATGCCTTTCGATGTCACCAGGGGGCAGTGATCGCAGGCCCTGGGGTGGGGCCAGGGACACCAGGCAGGCAGTGGGGTGACGCTGGGCCTGGCTGTGATGCCCTCCACAGCCACCAGCAGGCACTGTGCTACAGTCAGTGGGGTCCAGCAGGGGGCTGGCTGTGGTGCCCCTAGAAGCCAGCTGTGGGAGGGGCATGGGGGTGTTGGATGTCCTCAGCATCACGCTCACTGGAGCCCAGGCGCCTCTCAGGGTTTCTACGCAGCAGCTGGGGGGCAGGGGGATTGGTCACTGCCTGCCACGGAGCCCCCACCCTACAGCCCCCAGCCCCTGCCCCCAGGCCCCAGCTCACCCGGCGCATGAGGCCGATGGCCTCAGTAGACAGGAAGCGCGGGTAACGGACCTCGTCATTCACAATGCTGTCAAAAACCTCCTCCTCATCATCTCCAGGAAAGGGTGACTGCAGGGGTACAGATCAGGGAGCAGAGGTCAGGGGGTAGGAGCAGCCCCCCTACCCCCCAACTGTCCTCACCCCATCTTGTCCTCACTCCCTGCTCCAGCTGCCCCCCATCCCATCCCATCCCGTCCCCTGCTCCAGATCCCCACAATGGATCCCCCACCCCCCCAACACCCCCCCCACCCCCCCCACAACTGCCCCCCCAGCTCTATAAATCCATAAAGAACCCCTGCAACACCCCCATCCTATCCCTTTTGACCCCACCCCCACCTGCCCCCCAGATTTCCCCATAACCATCCCCAACCCACACTGCCCCAACACTGACCTCGCCCACCAGCATCTCGTAGATGAGGACTCCCAGCCCCCACCAGTCTACAGCTCGTGTGTAGGATGTGTCCGTCAGCACCTCGGGTGCCAGGAACTCCGGGGTCCCGCAAAATGTGCTTGTCCGGTCCCCGTAGCCCATGCCTGGGGTGGGGGGGGAGGCGGGGGAAGGGCAGCATGTGGTTAGTGGTGAGGCATCCCATCCCTATGATACCCAGCTGCACTGTTCCTCCCTAGAGCTGGCTGCATCCTGGAGCTGAAAGGGATCTCGGAGTCATAGTTGGCTCCAAGATGAACATGAGTGGTCAATGTGATGAAGTAATTAGTAAAGTTAACCACACTTTATCACGCATTAGCAAATGCATCACAAACAGGTCCAGGGCGGTGATAATTCCCCTCTATGCAGCACTGGTGAGGCCGCAGCTGGAGTACTGCATCCAGTTTTGGGCACCGCACTTCAAGAGGTATGTGGACAACCTTGAGAGGGTCCAGAGGAGGGCCACTCATAAGGTAAGGGGCCTGCAGGTAAGACCCTACAGAGGACAGATTGAGGGACCCGAATTTCTTCAGCCTCCGCAAGAGAAAGCTGAGAGGGGATCTTGTGGCCGTCTACAAATTAATAAGGGAGGGACAGCAAGGGATAGGAGATACTCTGTTTACCAGGGCACCCCTTGGAGTAACTAGAAATAACGGCCACAAACTGACAGAGAGCAGATTCAGGTTAGACATCAGGAAGAACTTCTTTATGTTAAGGGTGACCAGAATCTGGAATGGGTTGCCAAGGGAGGTGGTGCTCTCCCCTACCTTGGGGGTCTTTAAGAGGAGACTGGATAAGCACCTGGCTGGGGTCATCTGGCCCCAGCACTCTTTCCTGCCTAGGCAGGGGGTCAGACTTGATGATCTGCTGAGGTCCCTTCTGACCCTAGCATCTATGAATCTATAAGCCCCTGCTCTATCTACCTGCCCTGTTCCCCCCTAGGGCTGGCTGTATCTTGGGGCTGGGTGAGGGATCCATTATACCCAACTAGCCTGTCCCACCCCAGACCTGGCTGCATTTCTGCCAAGTGAGGGGTCCCTCTAACACCCTGCTTCCCTGGCCCACCCCAGAGGGCTGCATTCCCTCCACCCCCAACACCCACCTTCCTTGCAGAGCCCAAAGTCGGCAATCTTGACAAAGCCCTCAGCATCCAGCAGCAGGTTGTCCAGCTTTAGGTCCCTGCAGGGCACACAAATGAGGGGGTGTAGGCAAGGGGGTGCAGATCAGCGCAAAGGGTGTTGCTCAGAGGCTGAGCAAAGGCAGCAAAGGCTCTGCCTGAGGGGGCATGAGCCTGGACACCCGGGTTCTCTCCAGCTCTGGGAGGGGAGTGGGGGCTGATGACTTGGAGCAGAGGTGGCTGGGAGCCTGGACACCTGGGTTCTATCCCAGATCTGGGAGGGAGTGGAGTCCAATGGTTAGAGGGCGGCAAAGGGCTGGTCAGGGAGCCCTGTGCAGAGAAGGTGCTATGGGTGCCAGGAGCATCCCCAGGGGAGGGAGATTGGGGGCTCTGGGGTAACTCAGCATAGGTCTGAATGATGCAGGGGTTAGGGGACAGTCTAAGGGGTGCTGGGTGTGTGTGGGGGGTTCTGGGAGATGCCAGGGGGCTCGGCAGGTTCTGGAGGTTCCAGAAGTGCCCAGGAGGCTCTGAGGGTCTTGGGGCGGGGGAGGCAGAGGCGGTTCTGGGAGCAAAGTGGGGCCAGGGGGTACTGGAGGAACATGGCATCGGGGGTATGGGAGGGTCCAGGTGGTGTGGGAGGTTGGGAAGGGGTTGGTAGTTGGGGTGGCATGAAGGGTGCAGGGGGGTTTGGGGAGGTCCATGGGGTTGCAGGGGCCTCTCACCTGTAAACAATCTTGTGGTCATGCAGGAACTGCAGCCCCAGGACAACGCACGCAGCATAAAACCTGGGGGCAGGGGGAGCCAGTCAGGACTCAAAAGAACCCCCCCACCCCAGCCCTAAACAGGGCCCAGGGGAGGGCTGGATGCCTGGGTTCTTTCCTTGCTCCAGGAAGGAGGGGGGAGGCCTGGGAGCGTGGAGCAGGGGCTCAGACACCTGGATACCTGGGTTCTCTTCCTGCTCCAGGACGGGAGTGGGCATCTGGGGGGCAGGGGTTGAAGGTTGAGTGGGGGCTGGGGGTGAGAGCAGCAGATCCAGACATTTGGGTCCTCTTCTCCCCTCCAGAGGCCTAGATGCCTGGGTCCTATCTACAGCTTTAGGGGCCCAGACACCTGGGTCTTACTCTCCCCTCCAGAAGTTTGGATGCCTGGGTCCTCTCACGGGTTGGGGAAGGGACACTCACATGGCACGGGGCTCAGTGAAGACATCGGTGTGGATGTGCATCATCAAGTCACCGCCGGGTGCATACTCCATGACAAAGCAGACGTGTGCCGGAGTCTGGAAGCAGGCGGCCAAGTTCACCAGGAAGGGGTGGCGTGCCTCCGTTGCTGCTTCCAAGATCCGCTTCTCGCACAGCAGGCTGTGGGGGTGGGGCTTCAGCGAGGGGGTGGGGCCTCAGCCCAAGGAAAGGGCACCAAGAGGGCAGGGCCTCAGGGTTGGGTACCATGGGAGAGGGGCATTTGCAAGGAGGCTGGGCACAATGGAGGATAGGCCAGGCCTCAGCGAGGGAGCAGGACCTCAGGGTGGGGTGCCATGGGAAAGGAGCCTCCAAGAAGGGGAGGGGCTTCAGTAGGGGTGTCAGGGCCTGTGCCCCCAGCAGGCAGGGGCAGGGCATCAGCCAAGGGCTGGGGCCTTGGGCAGGATGGGGCACAGACAACCCAGCCACAGATACACGCATTGACATAGACATGTGCACATGCAGCAGTTACAAGCCCACGTGTGTTTGTGCACGCCTGCACACATGAACACGCGCATACACACACTGGTGTCCTCCACCCAGCATATACCCTAATCCTTACACACTCCCCCTGTGTACACACATCCCCTGGATACGTGCACAGTGGTGCTGGCCAGACAGGTGTGAGACAGGCCTGTGCACATACATCAGCACATGCCTTTGCATGCACACATGTGCGCACACAGAGGCAAGGGCCTGTTCCCATGCCAACCTAAGCATGCACAACTCCCCTGGTGCATTGACAGCACCTAGCATGAACACACCTAGGTGTGCATTTACACACTCTGTGGTGCAAGCTAGCTGAATGTGCACCCCCCACCGTGCCAAGGCCTGTCATGAAGATGCACTCACATATTTAAGTGCACACAATGACTGATGGCACACATGCTGACATATGCAGTTGTGCACACACTGTGAGGCAGACCAGCCTACTAGCTGGCACACCACTTGACCCACAGTGACACATGAGGACACACCTGTGCACACACAGTAAGCAAGACCAGCCAAGCACGCACAACCTCCCATTCCATGCAGACACACACATGTACACACACACACACAGGTCAGTGAGGGGCTGGGTACACTGTACTGGGTACACTGGCTCAGCACAAAGCTCTAGGCCACAGTGGCCAAAGGGGGTGGGGCAGGATACCCACCTCTCCACCTCGTCTCTGGCCACGATGTCACCCTTCTTCAGTGCCTTGACGGCGTAGAGCTGCCCTGTGTGCGTGCACTCCGACAGCAGCACCTGCAGTGGGCATGGGTCAGGACGCCTGGGTTCCCTGCAGACCCAGGGTCCTCTGTGTGTTGGACCACCCGGAAGGCAGGATACATCTGAGTTCCCTACATGCCGATCCACTCAGGAGACAGGACACCTGGGTTCCCCATCCAGCAGCCAGGATGGCTGGGTTCCCCACTCAACCAGGGGCTCCCTGCAGACCAGGAAGCCAGGATATACCTGGATTCCATGCACCTATAAGCAAGGACACCTGGTTTCCCCACCTACTGGGGAGCCAGAATGCCTGGGCTTGTGTCATATCTCAACTACTGTGTGGGCCACCTGGGTTACATGGAACCGAGACAAGGTGCCTGGGTTCTCAGCATAACGGCCGAGAGAAAAGCCAGGACACCTGGGTTCCCACCCAGCTCTAGAAGGCATGGAGCTCACCTTGCCAAAGTGCCCGCGGCCCAGCACAGCCAGGAACTTGAAGTCATCCAGGGTCAGCGGCGTCTTCCTGGGAGCAGAGACCAGGTCAACCTGAGCCCTGGTGCCCCCAGCAGGGGGCCCTGCTCAGATTCCCCCCAACCTCTGCGCCCCACCAGCTCCCAGCACCTGACCCCTTCAACCTCAGCCCCAACATTCCAACACTGCCCTGAGCTCTTGCCAACCCCCAGGGTCTTGGGTTGGGGGAGGCCTGGCCCCTTGCCAATCCAGTTAGGGGCAGGGGGCACCAAGCTGGGTGCCAGAGCATCCTGTGCCCTGCTGGACTGCACCTATCTAGGAGGTTTCCCCAGGGGTCTAGACCAGGACATGAGGGAACACTAGGGATAGACGGGGAACATCTAGAGGGTGTACAGTGGAATCAGGGGGCCACTGAGAGAAGTGAGAGGTGCAAGGGCGAGTATACTAGGGAAGGATTAAGGGCAGAACATCCCAAGAGTCTGGGGGGGTAGCCTGGGGGGGTTGGATGGTCCTGGGTGTCCAGAAGGCTCCAACAGGGGGTCCCAGAAGTCTGGGGGGGCTGGAGGGACCCAAGTACCGGGTGGGGGGTGGGAGGGAGTCTGAGGGGTCCTCACCTGCGCAGGCTGCCGCTCCTTGGCTGTGGGGCATCTGCTACAGGTGTCTTCTCATCTTCTCTTGTGCGCTGGGTCTGGGGGAGTATATGTGTGTGTGGGGGGGGGGGGGGTCGTCACACACAAAGCCATCTCCTTCCCCACTCCACCTGGCTGGTTATGGGGGGGAGCATGACACCATGCCCAGCATGTCCCCTCCCCCGCCCAAGGCCCATCTATATGGGGCTCCAGGACACCCCTCCCCACCCCCACCCCAGCTAAGTCCAGGTTGGGGCTGGGGAGGGGGGGTCTTACTGGGACCAGGGGCTCCTCTCTATCCTCCTGGTCACAAGGCGGTACTGGGGGTTTGTCACTGTCCAGGCTCAGCTTCTCAATGGCAATGTCCCTGGGGGCAGCAGAGGTTGGGGGTCAGGGTCACCCCCCAGTCCTCCCCATCTTGGAGGAGACAAGGGTCCTGGGGAGGGCGGAAAAGGGATGTTCCCTGGGCCAGGGGGTGGGGGGTGGAAAAGGGTAGGAGGGAGCTAGGTTTTGGAGTTAATGCCCTGAACCTCCCACCCTGGTGTGGGGCAGAGAGCCAGCACCCCCCTCCCCCATGGGCCGGGGGCAGGGCCTATGGAGGTGCTACCCCAGGGCAAAGGTCAAGGGGTTGGGCTTACCCATGGGCAGGGCCAGGCCGGGGTGGGGCACTGGGGCTGTAAGAGGCGCTGGGGGCTGGCAAGACACGACGCAACAGCCGCACCCAGGTAGCGATGTCAATGTTCATCTGGCGAGCGCGCAGGAAGGCCCGGCCTGGGAGGGGGAGAGAGCAGAGGTCAGAGGTCAGGACCCCAACTCCCATTCCTGCCCCTGCCTGCCCCCCCTGCCCCCCATACCCTGCTGCTTGGAGAAGATCTTTTTCTGGCGCTGCAGCCGGGGGATGCGCTCAATGACTGGGTTGAAGAAGGTGACCTGGAGCCAGGAGACCAGGGTGAGGGGGTGGGGTCAGTTTGGCCACCCACCCAACAGGGAACCCCTCCTCAGCCCAGCCTCCCCATGGAACTGGGGGGGCCAGAGGGCAGTGCAGGGAGACCCCCCACTTTAGTTCTGCCCCACTCCTAGCCCTACCCACACCTACATCCTTAGCTCCATCCCCAGCCCTTAGCTCCACCCCAAATCCTGGCTCCATCCCCAGCCCCGTGGGATACCCACCTCAGCCAGCAGCGTGCCTTGGGGCTCCAGGCCAAGGTGCACTTCGTGGAGCTGGTTATCCAGGAAATCCTCCAGCTTGAGGTGCTTCAGGGCACAGAGGCTGCGGTAATCCCGCCAGTACAGCAACAGCTCCAACTCCCGGGCCTGAGGGGGTGGGGGTAACGGGTGAGACCAGGCCCCAGGCATCTGCTGGGGGTGAAGAGCAGCATCGGCCACCCCCGGCTGCTCCTAATGACTTGTGATCGTAATGGCACAGCAAGGAGATCATTAGGTTAAAGAGTGAATGGCCAAGGCAATGCACTACCTTAGGTCTGGCCTCCCCCTGCCCTGCCTTACCTCCATCCCCCTCACAGGAATAGCTGCTCCCAGGGCAGCACTCAGATCCCACCCCTGCCTCCAAGCAGTGAGCATGGCTTTCTCCCCACTCACCCTCTCCAGCTCCAGGGCAAAGGTTTGGTCCCATGCATCCAGCCCCACAGGCTTCCAGGCTGTCTGTCCCATCACAGTGTTGTCAACCTTCAACACTGCACTCACCTCACCTGTGGGGAGAGTGTGGGATCAGCCCAGCCCCCACCCCTGCCTGGCCTGTCCAGGGCAGAGGCTCCCCCTAGGGCCTGGCTGGGGAGTGGGGCCAGTCAGGGGTGTGGGTGCGAGCAAGGAGGCAGCATGGGGAGACATGCTCCCAGGCTCGGAATGGAGCTGGGGTCAGTCCTGGGTGCCCACCCCCATCCTTTCATCCCCCCCAGTGCCCACCCACCCAGGCACCCTATTCTTCTTGTGCCCCCTCTCAGACCCCAGTCCCATGTGTGTCCTCAGGACAGCTGGGTCCTCTCCCCAGCTCCCCCTCAGCCCCAGCCTTGTGGATACCCCAAGAACACCTGGGTTCCCTCCCTAGCTCTCATGCCCCAGCTCCAACTCCCACCCCAGCCCCATGGATGCCCCTAAAATGCCTGGGTTCTACTCCCCAGCCCCCCCACCCCCCAACTCACTGCTGAGGTCATCGGCCTTGGGGGGTGTCCTCCCGCTGAGGCTCCCGGTGCGGCTGTAGAGTCCGCGCCCGCTGCGGCCCATGAAGGAGGCACTGGGGCCGGGGCTAGGGCTAGAGCTGTGGCAGGGTAGCCAGGGAGGGGCACCCCGGCTCCGCCCTGGCACCACCTCCAGCAGCCCCGTACAGCCTAGCAGCCGCACGGCCAGTGTCCCTATTGTGGGGGGAGAGGGTGTCAATGGGAGCCCGGACACCTGGGTGTTCTCCAGCTCTGTGAGGGCTACAGCAGGGGGAGCTGGGATACCTGGGTTCTCTCCCAGCCCTGGGAGGGGAGTGGGGTCTGGGAGCCCAGATGCCCATGTTCTTTCCCAGCTCTCACACACTGGGTGGGTTTGGCCACCTCATGTGCCCCCTCAGCATCTCAGTTTGCCTCCTCGGCAGGCCCCAAGCTCAGGTCCCACTCCCCATGTCTTAGTGCTGGGTTGTGCCCCAGGGGGCTGTTCTTGAGGGGCAGGGGACCCGAGTGCTGCCCTGGGAGGGGCTACTCCTGTGAAAGGCGGGTGGGGGCTGGGGGGGGGCTGGCGAGCACCCAAAGCCAGCTCCTCCCGCACCAGGCAGGCCTTGGGGTGCCCATCTGGTAGGGCCGCGATGCCAGACTCCAGCGCCAGGCGCAGCACATCCAATTTCTGGCTCGACTCCGTCAACTTTGCCTGGGCCTGGCACAGGAAAGGGGGAGGGGAGCGAGATGGGCATCTCCATACCCCAACCCCCGCCTTGGATCCTGACGTCCCAGCTCCTGACCCCCATAACCACCCATACCCCAACACAACCCTCCTGCTCCCAGATGCACCCCCACACCCTGATCCACAGCCAGACCCCGCCATGCCCCTGGTACCCCACCCCCTAATAACCCATTCCTGACCCCCCATTGCCCCACCTGCACACCCCAATACCCCACATACATCACCCCCATGCTGACACCCATCTTTGACACTCCCAGTCGCCTAATATCCCACCCCCATCCCCTGATCCAGAACCTCCTCCACCATCCAGAACCCCATACCCCAGTGCCTGCCCACCCCACCCCCCCAGGCAAGAGGCACCAGTGGTGATGTTGGGGGTGGGGGAGAGGGGGGACACACACCACACCTTGACAGTGAGGTGAAGAGGACTGTACCCCAGCAGTGAGGGGCAGGGGGAATGTACCTCACTGGTGGTGGGAGGGATAGACTGTACCATGGCACAGGGATGGAGGGGGCATGCCTCCTAGGTGGTAGGACAGATGTATATGGGGCCATACCACAGCAGCCGAGAGCGGAGGGAGCACCCCACACTGGCAGTGCGTAAGAAGGGGAGGGGGGGCTGTACCATGGCAGTGTGCGTGGTGGGGGGGGACCATACCATAGTGGTGGAGCT